ATAGCTTTCAAAGAGTTCCAGTCTTCTTCCACACAGGTTTCCTCAGGGATGTTGCCTTATGTCCCCCATTTTGTTCTGATGGCTGAGGTGAAGATGTCCTTTACAGTTTTGTCCTTCAGTTTCTGGTTGTTGAACTTGAACTGTGGTTGATCACCACCAACTTCTTTGAAGGCTTTCCACTTGATTTTGAAGGTAGGTTCCTTGCACCAGATAGTGAAGTGAGTGGTGTGAACCTACATTTGCTCCTCTTCGTGATCTGATCTTGTGTCGAGTAGGCTGACTGCGTCTCCACTTTCTTCACATTGAGATGAAGTCGATCTGGTTTTTAGTGTAGTGTGTCCTGGTGTCTAGTGAAGTCAAATCCATGTCGCTGACTTGTTAATATCCTTGTGTTTGTACAGACTGCCTCGCCTCCAATCACCAAGTCGTTGAATGCACAGAAATCTGCAAACAGTTCTCCGTTCTCATTCATTTCACCGAGTGCTTCTCGACCCATGGTTGGTTCTCTTCCTGTGTTGTACGCTCCCATTTTGGTATCTAGGTGATTCTTTTAGAATTTTGAGTAGGTCTACTGCATCGCAATGCATCAGGGATCTTGAGCTGGTCCACAAGACCTGGAAGTGAGAGCAAATAAGTCATTTGGTTTACACAGTGTTGTAAGAAGGTATTGGGTATTGGAAAAACTTTTGCCAGTAATATCCAATGTTATGGAATGCCTGGTGGGCACCCACATTTGGGAACGCCTGGATACAAGGCGACAAAGATTATGAGGGTAGGTGTTCAGTGCCCCAACCACCTGACATCCTGTGACGACTGGACAACATTCTGAAGCCTAAAAACTCCTGTCCGCACAATTTTTCTGGACCTCGCCAAAGCCTTCAGTACGGCTGCATACACCGAACGCATAAACAAAACAGCCTGGTTGGGTATCTGTGACTGGGTGATGTCGTGGCTCCAGAACTACTCAGGCCGCGGGGAGTTCTGCACGAAAGTCAACAGCGTCTGTTCAGCTTGGAAGACGTCATGGTACAGTACATCACAAAAGGGCGATTCTGGGCCCACTGTTGTTCCTACCGTTAGTGAATGACCTCCCGCTTCACATCAGCTCTCCGATTCTTCTTTTCACTGACGACGTGAACTTGTGGAGAGCAGCAACGCGTGGAAAGAAATCGGACTACCCCGGAACTCTCGAGGGGTGGGAGAGGGGCAACGAAATGACACAACGTGGATAAATGTCGGTCCGTGCTTTTCCGCACTCCTGATACACAGAAAGTAACCCACTGTCTCTGTGGTTCATATATTTTTCATTACGCAGCAGGGAAAGACCAGGGCTTAAAGGCTATGGAGAGACCGGACGTCAGTTTCAATCACTCAGGAGGCGCCTCAACAGCTTACACTGTACTACACTCTGCGTGCAGACAACGAGGTGCCCCACTCAAGGCCCTTTCTGAACTCTCCAAGCCCTACAAACGACCCCATCCAGAGGTAACGTTTTCTCTCTGGAGCGTCCCCACACCCCTCCGGAAACAATAGTTCAGGTTTGACAGGATTTGACATTGATGGCGACCCTGATGGTTTTGCCGGACTCACTGAGCTGAAGGCACCCGGTCGAGCATCCTCGCCATTTGGCAAGCTGTCGTGTTACGTTGCGCTGCTCGTATTCGGCTCTCTAGCCAGTTAGTTGGAACGTATGGGTATTTTGGCACGACGTCGCAAATATACCACTCCATCCGACTACGCTACCGTGTTCTTTCTTGGTCTCTTATCCAAGGGTATATAACAAGTTCGAATAATTAGTGACTGGCCTCTGCGTCTGTCAAGTTCCTGCCAGGACAATTCTTAATTTAGTGAGCCCAATGAGATAACAAATCCCGACAAAGAACAAATCTGGAATCGGTGGGCTCGCACCATTTTTTCTTTGTATGTTGTTTTCATTTCGATAACCATAATAATAATATATTTCATACAACACGGGTTACATGAATACAAATCAGTTTGCGGGTCTGATCATTATGGTAGTGAGAAAGGACTGTTATGTACAGTGTTGAGCTATACATTAGATACCGTTATTTATGGCATATAAGGGGTGTGTTGAAGCAGACTGACTCCGAACTTAGGAATTATTCGGTTGTTGTTTGAATCTTCCAATATTCTTTAAGGTGGGGCACGCAGTACAGCCGTGCTCTTGGGTTATGTATATATGCACACACAACTCCTTCCCATGTCCGACCATACTCCAAAGCTTTTCCTTAGTAAGCCGACGACGAGCACTATGCAACTCGTGCCATATTGGCCAGACAATGCAGAAACATGGTTTCTGCATGCCAAGGCAGATTTCCGAGAACAGGGAGTCGCAGATCCTCATTCCAGATTTCTTGCTGTCGTACGATCACTACCGCGGGAACTGAACAGGCATGTTACAGCCCATATGTTTAGTCAGGAAGTAAGTGATCCCTATGCACTTCCCAAGGCTGCACTACTGAAGGAAAGTGATCTTGCAGATCATCAGCGCCTAGATGAATTATTTCTTAACATCGAGCTAGGCAGTAACTCCGCCACTGAAGTCCTCGCATGCATGCAAGAAGTTTCGGGTACACGAACTTTCAGTGATGGCCTTTTCCGAGAACTGTTTCTCCCGAAACTACCACAACCGGTGCAAACCGTGTTGGTGACGCTGTGGTCAGTTCCACTCGACGATCTGGCAGCCCCGGCAGATAAAACAGTGGAGACCTCTAGCAGACCCGTCTCTAACGTACATTCTGTCCGCGATAAACTTGTGAACCAGGATTCAGAAGTAACCAAGCTGTGCAACTGTGTTAAACAGCCGCTACGAACTCGAAGTCCTAGTTTACGCAGCACATTGCAGAACCGCATCTCAGCGCATAGCAGCAACTCGTGTGGTTGTCCGAAAACTGAACCTAACAGGGTGGAAAGCCTTAAGTGGTACTGGTTTCATAATACTTGCGGATAAGAAGCCATGAAATGCCGGAGGCCAGGCAGTTTCAACACGGACACAAACTCGGGAAACGGTCACACCGATACGTGTTCACGGCAACCGTAGCGGGCGGAAACAGCCGTTTATTCCAGGTCACGGATATAAAACAGAAGTTCGCTGCCTCGTCAACACCGTTCTTCCTGCACCGACAAGGGAGAGTCATCATGACCCATCCTTCGACCATGAGGTGGCCAGCGGCAAGGCGGCCGCGACACTTGGGAGACTGTATGCCTACCTGTTCACTGGATTTCCTCCTGGCTGACGTTTCTATGCCCATCGTTGGCATAGACTTGCCAGACCATTGCGATCCACTCGTAGATGCTCGTCATCGGCGACTGATAAGTAGCAACACAAAGTTATCTATTGGTGGCATCACCCACGTAGGTCCGAGGTTAGCCATCCCTAGAACTGAACAATGAGGCGACGTGTCCCATCAGGCAGTTTTGGAGAAATATCCAGAGTTACAACAACCGACGCATACCCTTCCATGCATAACCAGCAATGTTATGCATCGCGTCACAACCACGGGTCCACCTGTGGTATCCAAAGCACACCGTGTAGCCCCCGATAAGCCCAAAACAGCGAACGGTGTATTCGGTCACACGCTCGAGCTGGGCACTATCAAACCGTCAAACAGTCCTTGGGCATCACCAGTGCATATGGTTTCAAAGAAAGGTGGCAACGACTGGCATCCTCTCTATCTACTTGGTTCCCGATGCTGAGTGGTGTGCCTCAAGGTTCCATATTGGGCCCACTACTGTTTCTTGCTCTTATCAATGATCTACCAGGGGTCCTTAATTCACATTCATTATTATATGCCGATGATCTGAAGATCTGGAGGGAAATACAGGAACCAACGGATATTTTAATCTTCTAGGATGACCTTACGAAAATCCTTAACTGGACCATAGAAAACCTGCTTCCTCTCAACTCGAAGAAGTGTCGAATTATGATAGTTGACAAACATAAAGGCAGTCCCAGTTCTGGCTCTGTAGGTGAAATAAATATCTGTCACTCTAACATGAAACAGGACCTGGGAGTTATACTTAATGTTACACTAGGAACCTGAGTTCACTGTCTCCTTGCAGCCAGTAGGGCTTGTGGGATCCTGGGGTTTCTGTCGCGAACCTTAGGGTGCCTAACTCCTTCTCTTTTCACCTCGGTGTATGCTCTGCACATTCGTCCTCACCCAGAAAAAAACTCGCTCGTAACGTCCCCATGCTTCAAGAAAGACATTGCCATCCTAGAACGGGTACAGAGAAGAGCTACAAAGAAAGTGATTGGGTTACGGCACAAACCGTACCCATGCCGCTTAGTTGCTCTTGAGCTGCACCTAGTACAATACCGGAGGATCAGAGGGGATATGATCATGATGCACCACATGGCCCATAATCCCCTCCATCCCAACAGATCCCTTCTAAGCTTTAGTCGGAAACGCGACTTGAGGGTTCGCGCGTTAAGAATAGAGCATGAGAGAGCACGTACAAAGATCCGTGCTAACTCATTTGCAATTAGAATCTGTGAACTGTGGAATTACCTCCTTCAGAAGTTGTTGCAGCCCCATCCCCTGATACCTTTAAAAGGAGGCTAGACACACACCTCGAGTCCTGCGGTACCGATGGTCTATACTCGAGAAGCTTTCTCCAGATCAGATGCAGTAATACTAACTTGAGACCAGATTAATTTACTAGTCGTATCTCTATCCTTTCAGGTTTTCAGAACCGGAAGATAAATGTGACCACTCCAAAATCATAATGTATTCCGATAGGACAAACGTAGGACCCAAGGAACCGCAGTTCACTAATTCTACAACACGAAGTTTGAAGTTGTCAACGTCTGGAACTCCTCACCTCAGCAAGCAGTATCAACACCTTCTGTCAACGCTTTCAAGGAGAAACTAGATTTCTGTAGAGATATCTTCCGCAAGAATTAGCACAGGCCATCTGGCCTACTATCCTTATAACTAAAAACTGAAACTGATAACTAAACAGGTATTGGATTTTGGATTTTGCCAAGTTTGGGAATTCAGTTGTTGCGCTACATGTTTCCCTTGAGATGCATGAAATTCCTACGGGGAGGATCTCTACATTTCATGAACAGAACTTTATTTTTGAAGTGTGCTCCATTATGCGGAAGCTTTAACCGACAGCAGAATAATTCTTGGGTGTACAAAATTGTCCACAGATTGTCTCCAAAGGATAAACTGCTTCTGTATCAAGAGTTATCTAGAAGTATTAACGAAAAGCTAGATTCCACAAATAGTATTTCGGAAGTTCAGGAGGCTAACTTAACATACGCTCAGCTCAAACTTGGTAGGCTTGCCAAGGTAGAACTGTAACAGTCTAAATTTTTAGTTGTTGCTGGAAGCTGTCTTCCTTTCATAGGGTTCGGCTTCTTGGATAATGCGATTATGATTGTAGCCGTGAGTAAGCCCCCCAGCCTATATAATTTTCACTAATATGGTGTAGGGGGAGTATATTGACTTGACATTTTCAGCAGTTTTGGGAATTTCAACTATGGCTGGTACGTGCTATTGTTTAAGAATGATTATTTACAGCTGCCGGCCTTGTAACCTGATTTCTGACCTCTTCGGAATCGGGTAAGCCTTTCTTTAAGTGAATGTTGTCTATTGTGAGATCGGTTTTTCTTCGGTGCATAAATGCAATGGGTACAATGCCTGTATGTCTGAGTTTGTGTGAAGACGAATTCACCAAACTATATCTTTGTTGCTAAGTGTCATTTTACTAAGACTAAGTACCTTAATGCACACTACTGAATTGTAAGAACGATATGATTAATAAACCCGGGTAATGACGTTAGATACGTTATAAGTATCTAATTATGGTGGGGATTACTTTATTTAAGAAATGCATATAATTTAGGTTAGTAAGCATATGTATTTATCTTGTGACTAGTTGGTGTAAGCTTGCCTGTAGTATATCTACTCGACTGACTTATTAAAGTTTTGGCTTACCGTTAAGCACAGACTTACACACTTATGAGTTGCGAGTTCGAAACCTATTCACCCCAAGGTTTTAACGGTTATTCGTCAGTGAGTTTCACGTAGTACTCTAGTTTGTACGTAATTGTTGTGCTGCATTGTTATTGATTTGTATTTTAAAATCAATTAGATCTAATTAACCTAGAGAAAATTGTTTTGTTTACAGTAGTCTAAGTTTGGTAAAGCCTTTCTGAAATGTGAGAGTAAACGTATTGTTTAGGGTGTAGACTTTATGCTCCCACTTTAGGGAATTCAGTGACCAGAAGTGATTATAGTGTCCTAGAAACAAACCTGCCATAAAAAATACTAAAGAGTGGTACTTACATGTTGCCCACAAGAATTCCTCTGGTTAACAATTTACTATTCAAGATACCAAATCCCAGTATATCTCAGTCCACGTTGAGTTAGTGCGGAGAAATTTAGGGTGGCCAAGTTGATAATGATCAAAGTAGAAACTGGCACTATTGCATAGCATTCAAGTTGCCACGTTTCAGATCAGCACGAAAAGAGTTAAAACTGTGAGATAAAACTCAGAAAAACAGGAATAATGTGATTAAAAGCCGCTGAAGGCCACAAGAAAAGAAAGTGAAAACGATCAAGTGTGGTATGACGATTTAAATGAAAATACTGTGCGAATGCATCTACTTCACTGAAATCGATTATCACCTAGAGTATTCAACCACCAATTTGAGCTGTCATGCTGAACCCAACTACAAAGTCCACATTACTTAAATGAACCAGGCCAACAGTTAGAGACTTTTTGGACTGGTACCATGTTTCAATCTGGTAGCCTTTAATTTTTTTAGAGATACTTTGGTTAACGTTGCACGTTGGAGCAGATGGTGACTAGGCCTGTGTGTCATGTTTCATCCATCTGAGTCGATGAAGATTTATGAACTTAACAACTGACTCTTCTTTTTCTGGAAGTTCGACTCCTGACATCTACTTTAATAACTTTATATGGTAACAGGCTGAGTGGTGTTGTTGTGTACATCATAGTTTGTTAAGATCCCACCTATTCGAAAGTCCTGTTGGTTGCGTAAGTATTGTTGTCAATGTGTCATGTTAACGTGAAGAAATGTACATATTTTGTTTGCTTGGATATGACAGGCTTGTTGGTTACGTTGAAAAGTTCGTAGAAAAAATTGGTATTTCTGTCCCTCATTTGTCTGCTTCTCAGCTTGCTTCCAGTTCAGTTCGTTGGGCTGTAGCAATAGTAAGTCTATAATCTTTATGCGATTCAAATCACTTTGGTCTTTAACTGCTTTATTCTTGAATTCTGAATTATGTCTAGGCTTGCTAATCGATATTGAACTATTTTCTATTCATGTTAGCCTGCAGAAGGCGTAACTAGATCTGGTGGTATTCATAATTACATGGGATTACGTAGGTTATATACCCAGAATTTATTTTATTTTTCACTCAGAATGCATTCGTGTTACAACCAGAGAAATGAGAGCTGTGCTCCACATTTTTGTAGTCAAATTAAGATGTCATACAGTGATTAGGAGAGTTGACTAGTCAAAGAAGCAGACACATGATACATTTAAGGAGCATGGATTGTTTTTGATCGTATTACCATCTAACTGACGGACAAAATCAACATAGAACCTCGGACACAAGTGCGTCGGCTCAAGTGGCTACACTTCACAGTAGTACACAAAGAACAGGTGAGTGGAAAAAGCTATACCAAAGTAGATAGAGTAGTCACACAAAAGATTGAAAATAAAGATAAGTAGAAATATTGAAGCTTGAGATGTCAAGGAGTGAATACGTCTGCACTGTTGTGACTGATTTTCAACCATGTCACCAAGAGTCGTCTACCACTAGTTCCTATCGTCTCAGGGACCTCAGCCAGGCAGCCTACACCTCTCCATGTGCCTGATTGGAGCTCGAAATTAACTGATTAGAGAGAACTAGGCAAGATTCAGATCTAGACGAAGGTGGACTAATAAAACTTTTGCTGTTCGATACGTTCTAGAACACAGGGATACACATACGCGTGCCCATCACTTGCCGTATTTCTTGACCTACGGGCGATATTTGACCTGTTAACCGTGAGGTGTTGTGTCAGTATCTGACCAGAAAGAGTACTAAACAAGTATGTAACACTAATCATAGCTATCTGCTCGAACTAATGCATTCGTGTAAGGGCTTATGGAGAGTTTTGATTTGAAATGACGATAATTAGTGGCAATCTCCAGGAATACCTGTTGTCACCGTTCTTGTTTAACTTCGCTATTGGCTTACTAATGAAAATAACCGTTGTTACATCTGACTTCTAAGGGATTGATCTACTCCGTGGAGGGCATCTAGTTGACTTAGACAATACAGACTTTTGTCTTGCTAGGTAAAGATACTGACGAAATGCAGGGCCCTTTAAACGCGTTGAGCAGAAGTCTGAGTATGTTGAGCATTCGTTTCCCACCCATCAAGTGTAAGATGATACTTCAGGACTGGTCAGCAACTACTCGCAGTCTAAGGATAGACAGTAAAGTGGTGGAATGCGCCAACTGCCACATTTACTTGGCGAAATTTCTGGCTGAATAAAAAAGTCTCGTTTGGCATTTACCAACTTGCATCATTTAACGAACCCCCTGGCGAGATATCCGACTACCTATTAAAGACTGGGCAGTCGGTTCTGTTCTATAGTTGTGAGAAACTGCCGTTAACAGTAGAAAATATGAGTTGGTTACAGGTTTTGACCATGAGTGTTTTCGTAGAATTGCTGGCTTCTAGTGATATCACTGTCTAAGCAATGTTGAAGTTAAGCTAAGGGTAATAAGCAAGCCAGGTAAGTCAGGTTGTTTGCTTTCATCGATTAAGGTGACTCACAAATGTGCTGCTCATACGCAGCTTGAATGTTTTGACAAGCCTTTATTTTAAAATTCCTTCTCTCTGCATTCACCTTTGTCTACTTTGATATCAGACTTTTTCTATCCATTTGTTGTTTATGTGCTGCTGTTAATTGTGGTAACTTGAACCGATGTGCTTGTGTAAGACATTTTACTCTGATTTTGTCTGTTTATCCGCCTTATTTATTATACGTAGTCTTGTCTAATTAACGATACTGTTGCTGGACCTTGGAAAACTATTCAAATATTCGAACGTTTAGGAAAATTCAGTGGGTCACCTCCAGATTTTGGTGAGGTATAGAATTCTATCAAGATTGTAAAATTTGCACTTCGTTAATGCACAGGATAAATTATGGGTATTGTTGTCAATTATGAAGGAATCTAAGTGTGGATTTAGTGAATTTTTTGTCATTGCATTAAAACGTCATCGTCATTATATTGTAGGTCGAAAACTATTGGGTTAGATATTTATTTCACTATCCTACTGTTTTTCTAGGTTGTCCTAGACGCACCTTTTTCTGAAATCGGAAACGAATAGCGATTTTCGCCATTGATCTACTGCCTTTTGGATTAGAATTTTTGTTAAACAATGACATCTTAATATGAGTTGTTGTTTGGAGACCAAACGACACCATAACTTTTTGAAGTTAGGGTTATATTCAACTATATGGACTAAATCCTCCTCATATATGTCTATCAGCTTACTAGTTTTTCACCAAGTTGTTAGCTTTTCGCTGCACTCATGAATAGTTCAGACTTTTTTTTCTCAATTATGGTCTGTACTTATTAGATTTGACTTTGCCATCACTCTTGTTTCTTTCATGAACGCATCTTAGTGTAAACGGGAAAATTCGCAAGACTTTACTTCTTGTTTCGTTTAAAAAAACCATTCAAAGTTGCTGTATAGTATTGTGTGTAAAGTATGTTGGTTCATAAATTAGTTTGTTTGTTTGTGTTCGGAAGTTCATGACGTTGATGCCTGGCCTTACTGATGTCGATGTTAGTCTGAGTGGCTGAGATGAATCTACTTTGTGATCCTGTCAGTCAGTCACCTGCTCCACCTACCGAGGTTTGGGGAGCCGTGTAGCATCACTAACCCTCATACAAAGGTGTGGCTCCTTGTCCACTGCATGAATGTGCACAAGGTTGCTGAGTGCATTTCGATTTTTTTCGATTTCAGTTTCATTTAAGTAATCATGGTATATACTCGTAGCTTAATCCATCCAATAAAAATACTATGGAGCTGATCAACATAGTCAAGTGCTGCCATCAAGTGAAGATTAACCCTAAGTGCCCTAATGTATGATATAAGATGGAGGAATTAACTACTTATCGACACTATCAAGCCTGAAACCCAACAATAGTACCGACTATGAATTTTCTTGGTTCAGGTGTTGAGTGTGTATGCATCGTATTTTCCTGAAAAATCTGTGTGATTATCATCAAAACACCTATCCTTTCTTCAAGTTCGAAAAAAAGATAGTAGAAACCATTTAAAGATGATGTTCGACATCCATATTCCAACTAATACATCATTCAACGTAACTGGTAATGCGCATGCATTTCTACTTCAGATGAAATTCTAATTTGTTTTATCATCCTACCCGGCTTGAAAGTATTTTCCAGTTTCATCTTTTCTGTATCTATCAGGATTTAGGCAAAAACATGCTTAAATCAACGCATAGCGAGAGTTCAAGCATATGATTCATGTTAGCTGCAGTTCTCGAATTTTATTGTTGCTCCATTGCTTCGTGCTTCCTTTTCATGAACTTCTACCATTTTACTACTTTCTTATCCCTCTGTCTTACGCCCTGGTGCTTTCTAACTTACCACGTTGATATGAAGGGTGACAGCACTAACCTTTACTCAATAATACCATATCCTACGTTGATCATGACAGTCCCTTGCTGGTATTCAACAGTAGCTTATAGTAATACGGTCTATTTGTCTGAATTTGGTGTTCCCTTAAGATAATAAGTTGTTATTAGAACATTAATCTAGCCCCGACCGATAGCTGATACCTTGAATTAGCGGTCAGGGTTGCATATCACAATGTCCCAGTGAGTTACGGTGTCTAGAAAGCTTATTGCTTGACGTCCTACCATACCAGAAAGGTGTGTTGGATAGTGCGGAAAGCAGTAACAATTAGCCTAAAGAGCTGCGTAATACTGGGGGTCCGGTTGTGAAGTCATGCTGCTTGCTGGGCTGTGATAGACGTAACGTATTTCCCACAGATGACGAGAAGTTAGTGCTCATGTTGTCTTCCCTATGGCGACGGGAGTTAATAAAGGTTGGACCCGAAAATCACATACTCACATACTCGGTGACGGTGGTATGTGGTTTTCATGTCAGGTGTTGGCAAAAACCTTTATCCAACTCTCAAAGAGACTATTTACTACCGCCATCAAGTAGATATCCTATGATGATGATGAGATATCCCATATGATCTGCGGTTACACAAAACTGGTTTCTTTTCTCCTTCAAGTACCTCACAGAAGCAGTTTCCACGATGTGAGTGACCGACAAGCACTAAACGTCCACATGCTTCCAACAGTACACAAGAACTGACTAACCATAGTATACATCCCTTGTCTTCACTTCCTGATACCAATATTAAACCTCTTACAACTTCTTCAACCTCACTGTGCGACCACGGCTGACGTTTCAAGTCACTGAAACCTCATTCCTAGTCTTCCCAGACCCCGCTATCAGTTCTATATTGGAACTAGGAACGTCCAAACCCTCTACGGAATCAGCAAGTCCCTCACCAGAACCCTGGGCTCTCAATCCATGAATGTATCCTGTGTCTCTGAGACACGCACACAGGACCCAAGTGTGTTTGTTCACTTGATCTCACCTAGCCAGTGAGGTGAATCTTCAGTATTATTCACTTTATGAGTATTCGGAGACACAATGGTTAGATCTCATGGGCTTGCTGATGTAGGCATAACGTTGAGTTGTAGAGCAGTAAAAGACATTTCTTGACTAGATACCAGTTCGACTGAATGGATCTGTAAGAACTGGGAAGGTTCGTGACAGTTGTAATAAAGACCAGTGAAGGATGACTGCTGTCCCTGAAGTACGTGTTTGGAGTCCGGTCACGTGTTAGTGCGGGAACGTGTGTTTGTGTCTCAGTAGACACAGGAAACAGGCGGCAGTGAAGCCCATGTGTGCCTGATTGGAAGATGAGAACATCAAGTGTGTATTTAGGGAGGAGATAGCTAAGAATTTATTTGAAATTGATAGAATCCTCATCTTAAGGGGACCTGACGTGGTATTCGGTCTACTGTAGAGACAGCGATAGGCAGCTGATCAGGAAGAGCCAGTGAAATTTCGATGCTTCGTCCGAACCAAATGATGT